ACCAATAGCTTAGGGGTAGAAACTCGAACGGATGCCAATTCGGTGGTGATTCGATCCCGGTTTTAAACAATCGGATGTCTAACAACACTGACGATCTGTGATATCGCGAAACAGGCTCGTATGTGAATGATTATATATATATATATATATATATATATATATATATATATATATATATATATAGTCATCCACATACGAAATTATCTCTACCAACAGCTAAAATAATAAAAAGCTGCCTTCTCAATGCTTTTTCACATTCAATAATACGTTTTGCAAACAAAAATTTGGATTACAAATGGAATCGCCTCTAAGTGGAGTGATGGTATGTATCTTTTTAGAATTTCTCGAATTTGGCCCTTTCTAAAATACTTTATCCTCATACTTCCGTTATACTAATGATGCTCTACTTATTTACGTGATACCTATTTACCTGATCTAATAGACCAACTAAACAAAGTCGAACATACACTAGAATGTACATACGAAATGAAAGAACACAACTCCTTACCCGTCCGAGATCGCGTTAACAACAGTTTAAAACTCGGTTTCCACCGGAAATCAACCAACAAAATCTTTTCTCATCATGATAACGAAATAAAATCCGGTATAATCATCGGTTTCTGTTTAAGAACACACAGAATATACAGCCCGCATTGTTTACACGAAGAGGAGAAATACATCGAAAACACTTTCACACTTTTCCAATACGATAATTATTTTATTTTCAATGCGAAACAAAACGCACATAAAATATTCCAAAACAAAAAGCCCTCATGAAAAATCCAATGAAGCAAATATATATATATACCCTACTAAGTCTATCACAACTACAATCGAAAAAATCTATCTAAACTCAACATAAAATTTGCTACAACTATATCCAACACAATAACAGATTTAGTCAATACTAAACAAAGCAATAAACTAAAATCTGAAGGTAATAACTGACACAAAGAAATACACAAGAGAAAACTTAAGAAATCTAAATTAAAATTATATGAACACAAAATGGACATTTTACAAAACAATACATCAAATACGTTGGTTACCCACCGTAAGGTGACTAACGACAATTTTGACATGAAAAATGCTACTCTGAACAAAGGAAAAAAACAATTCACTATGACGTAAATGTCTAGAAAGTAACTTTTTGCGCCCTGGCTCTTACAACATTTCACCATTCCTAGCAGATCTACTATCACAGTGTGAGATACCTACTAACAAAAGTGATGGAAAGAAAAAGAAAAGGATATTAAATGAAATCGGCTAGATATAAGATTATAAAAAATTCTAAAATCCCCAGCACCTGTCGTTTGTACGCATGTATAGTCGTACGAACATACCAAATTTCGTTCGATGAAGTCCTGAAAGACGAAACGCGTCACAAGTAAACTTTTTACACTTCGTCATATATTTTCCCCAATATTGATCTTGATATATATATATATATATATATATATATATATATATAATCCATTCGAAAATTATAACATAAATATGTTATAAAATCACGACAAAATAGCCATTTTGTTTCAACACTTCTGGTGTCTAATCAAGTGATGGTGTGGAGTGTAGAATAAAAAGTTTTAAAAGGTTTAAATCAGCCAAACATCCTTCGATAGGGTAAACACTGTTACATATGCTGCAATGACCAATCAAAATACAAGTAAATGAAAGTTCAAAAAACTTGACAACGGATCTTAGTTATAATTATTAATGCCTTAATGATAGGGCTAGAGACTAAAATAGAAGTCATTCTTAATGATTAATATTAAATTTTACTATCAAATTAAAAATTAATTTTAAATATTAAATATAAAGTTTATATTTAAGATTAATTTTATATTATAAACTATATAAAGTTTAGAATATTACAAAATTATTTAAAGAAGAAACTGGGGAAAATGCATATATTTTATTATTAATTTTGTTTTAATTGAAAAGCTAAAATCTCAGTTAAAATAAACGTTGGGGATTCAGAATACAACTTAGATACATTTTAAGTCGTGATATGGATAGTGGGGAGGATGAGATCTTGTAAAAGAACAATACATACACAATCAGATTATTATATACAAACACACAGGCGTATTTAGATATATAAACACGCAAAAACACTGACGAAACAGTAAATAGATGTGTACGACCCTCATCCCCTAAAAAAATAAAATAAAACAGAAAATAAAATCAGATAACATATATATACAATGAAAGGCATATACAAGCGATTATACACACATTCATTAATAAAGACACACATACATTAATAAAGACAGAGACATATACACAAAAGTTATGGTTTGAAAGTGCAAATTTAAAATTTAAAGGGGTAGAATAGGAAAAATATATTCGGCAATGAACAACGTAAAAAAAGATAATTAAATATATAAAAATTTACAGAAAAATTAAATATATACACATACATAAAAAATACAAATTCAAATGTTCAGGCATTCAACGCTTAAAATAAAATCAACTAATATATATATATCCACACACACACAAACACACACACACACACAGATATATCTATATATATGTAATTCTAAACACACAAATATATAATTATTTTATATATACTTATATGTACATTAATGCATACACAAGTATAAATATATAACAATATATATAAAAACAAAACGTATGAGTACACAACATGCATAACTACACATAGATATATACACAAATATACATGCATATGTACACATATATATATACTTACACCCATATACATACATACAAACATATACATACACATACGCATACGCATATATACACGCACATAGAAATAAATATAAATATATCACCTACACATCAAGATTAAAAATATGTATATATATATACACACACACAGATATACACATATATACACACACATACACATATATATACACACACATATATATACACACACACGCAAACACACACATGCGCACGCACACGCACACACACACACACACACACACATATATACAAACAATATTATCCAAAATGCTATGAAGGATTCAGAGTCCATACAAGATTAAAGTGTAACAAAACACGACTAGTGATTATTAAATCCACAAGCAATTTTAAAATCAGTATTAAACAATAGTAGATTATAGTTAGCATAGATAATTCGTTCAAAAAACATTAATATACATACATACATATATATATATATATATAGAGAGAGAGAGAGATAGATACCCACATACATACATACACACACATATATACATACATCCATATATATATATATATATATACACACATATACGCATACAAACACGTACATACGCATACACACTCATACATATACAAGCGCATAAATATATAAATAAGCATATACATAAAAACCATAATCACACACACACATACGCACACACACATGCACATGCAAATACACATATACATATGTATACATATGCATATATATACAAGTACATGCAAATACATATGTATATACCCACATAAATTCATATACACATATATACATTTATTCATAAAAAATACGCACACATGTACGCACATAATATACGTATACATACATATATGTCCACCAATATGAGAATTATTAGATAATATCAGTAATAACATACTATACATGCAGTAACATTGCATTATCGTCGAAAATATTACTACCCCTATTGTAAGTTAAATTTTAAGCTATGCTTACAGTTAACAGTGAGTTTATTCCTTTGATTTAAGAGATGGATCTTGTCTAATCTAATGATTTCAATTTTTTCATTAAGACATAAATAACAAGGGGCATAAAGAGAATTATATGTTCGATCTCTCTTAATTAATTTCCATTTAACAGTGGGTGTCTTGCTTTTCTCATTAAACGCCAAAAATACTTAATATTGTTGGAAGATTGCACATGTCCACGCAAACGTTCTTTAAATGTATTCATAGTACTTCCAATGTAATTTTTTTTAATATTGGTGTTTTCTAGCATAGAAATTGTACTAAGATAAACTAGAGAACTACTTAAACAATTATTATGTAATGGACAGTTATTAGGATTCCTACAATTGCACAAGTTATTATTAGTGTCATTATACTTATTTTTACTCACACCTGGCGATTAGTCAGGTTTTTTGTGTCTCTATACTTGTTGAAGATCATGTTATTATGTTTCTTGTTTGTTTTTGTTTTTTTGTTGTTTTTTTGTTGTTTTTTTTTTCCAGGTTATCAGCACAACTGTAGCTTAATTTAAGGTTATTATGATTAAATATTTTACTGAGTGGATTAGTTTCTGGGTCGGGAAAATGTTATCCTATTAGGTTTTGAAATTTATGTCCTAGTCTGATTTTAACTATTAGTTTGAAAGGAGGAGTAAAACAAATGATTTTCCTGGATCTTCGTTTTTTTTTTGTTTTTTTTTTGTTTTGTTTTTTTTGTGGTCATAATTAAAAGGATTTCTATGTTCAATAGTAGTACCCTTGTAGCCATTATTTTTATGGACAGAATTATAAAATTCCCTATGGTAATTAAAAACGTCTTTACTAAAAGAGTTAGTACAAATCCTAAAATCAATGGAGATGAGTATATGCTTAATAACAGAACATATATATATATATATATATATATATATATATATATATATATATATATATATATATATTCTGCTTATACGTTATATTTATAGATACAATTATTTTTAAAGATACAATTATTTAAATAAATGCTCTGTTCATAATAAACAGTATGAATTACATTTACCGGCATGAATGTCCGAGAAATTTCGTAGAAAATATATCCTACCTGTATCATATAAGGAAACGTCATTTGACATATACATTGCACACGTTGGATTTATTCACTTTGAACGATTTAACCTGTGGTAGTAATCTAACAGTTACGCATGAATGAAATTCAGCAGGTTGCCATAACCCGGTTTGAATACCTATATCTATTAAATTACTGCCACATGATTGATTAGAAATTTGCGTGAAAATCATTTATTCAGTCTCCAGCGTCTGTGCATTTTAGAAAGTAGTTTTTCAACCACTAAAATGGCGGTGAGTTTCATTTTAATTTTTGAACTAATCTCTTTTTAATTTTTTTTCTTTAATTCTTAATTATTTTGTGAATAATGAATAAAATTTTCCACTTCATTGAGTACATTCTCTTTTATTTCTTCCAATTTTTTTATATTATTCTTATATTCTCCAAAATACATGATTTTTTCGCAAACAATATAACATTTACATAGAAAACGTGGTATTTTTACCTTAAATATTAAGATCATGTTTATTTCCTTTTCTAAAGTGAAGTTATTATTTAGAAAAAAGCAACCATTTGATAATCTATTCAGAAATAATAGTAACTATATGATAATTTTAGTTCTCGCGTGGTATTATCAAACAAATGAGAAATGTAAAAGTAAAATTATTTATTCTGAATTCAAATCGTTAAATAATACAAAACTATCGTCTGTCTGTTCGAGTTGAAAAACAAAGAATCAAACTGATTTTTGTTTCAAATGAGAAAATATTAGTTTAACAAGTAAGTTCCTATTTTATTAATTCTGTGTATGTATTTTGTTTTGAGCTGAAATTTCATTTTCATGTGTTTGAATTAAACAGAGCCATTGTGGTTTTTCAAAGTAAAAATGATTCGTTGAAACACCACTTGTTTAATTTTATAAATTTTCAGAAATGCTTTTTTGTAGCGCTTAAATATTTATATTAGTTATAAGCACACGTCATTGGAGAATTTAAAATATCAATTCTTTTAATCGAATAGGGCCCGCAGTTACAGAAGTCCTTCTTTTAATCGTAAAATAAAAATTCAATAAAACTAAGATATTATTTAATTAGAAAATCTTTTCAAAGTTTTTATAAATAATAAAATATATTATCGTCATTATAACTGGAAAGCTATGGAAGAAAGGTTTATTCTCTCATTTATATTTTTCCTATTATGGTCATTATTATATCTTTGGTTAAGTACCTCCAAAAAGTTTCTAAAAAAGAACATACCATGATGAAAAATAACTCCAGACCTGAGTGTTATCGTTAAGGAGAGACAAAATTATTTTTATTATTTTATTAATTTGCTTAATCCTTTCTCACACATTAGAATCTTTGGTTAAAAAGCATGTTTTTCTTGCGTCAGTAGGTGATGCAAAGATTAGTATAGGGGTTTTTAGCGTCTTTTGTGATGTTAAAAACTCATTGTTTTGGAAATTCTTGTAAAAATCAAATAACTTTCGGATTTTAATGAAATTTTGAATTATTTTTTTTAGAAAATCTTGGTAAATTGTTTTTGTTTTTGTTTTTTTTTACATCTGTTACCCCATCTTACTTAATTTTAGGTACCTCTATTTCTATTAATTCGCAGAATAAACAACATAAAATGATGAAAAAAGGCCCGAAATTTAATAAAAACAAAGATTTATCGTTAAAAAATGTTTATGCTATTATTAAAAGGAGCGACTAAAGTATTTTTCCGTATTTTATTAAATTTTTGTATCCTTTTTAGTAAGTTCGAAATTTCGGTTAATAATATTTTTTGCGTCCGTGCTCGACGTTTATGTTTATAGCTTTAGCGCCTTTTTCTGTTGAAAAACACATTGATTCGAAAAATTTTGTAAAAATCAAATAATTGTCGGATTTTAATAAAACTTTTAGGACATTCATAAATGAATTAAATTATTTGGAATGTTTTTAAGAACATTTTAGTAAAAATATTGTTTTACATATGTTCACCCCACACCCTATTCACTTATTTAATTTCATGAAATTTTGAGAAATTAAATTTTAATCACAAAATTGTTTTTTTTAGTTAAAATCAAGACTCCTTGAAGAATCTGAATCATCATTTTTTTTCAAACTTTTTGCAAAATCTGCTCCGAATCGTAAAATAAAAAGATGCAATAATTCTATGACATTATTCAATTAGAAAAAGCCTTTAATTCTCATATAAATAACATTTATTAAGGACACTATTATCTTAAGAAAAATATGAATTTTTACAAGATTTTTTTCCATATTTATTTTAATTATAACAATTTATTAATATAATTTATGAAGAAAAATATATAGAAAAAGAAAAATCCGAATATGCAAATATGCTGTTTTAATGTTGTTTCAATGTCGACGTCAGACGTTTCGGTTTAGGAGACCTTCTTCAGGACATAGTTATTAAAACATAATTAACATTAGACGCTATTTCTACATAAAAAGTCGATAGACATAAGAGTAAGACTAATCAAAACAGAATAACTGAAATTTTTAAGATCAGCGTTCCGTTTCACAATATGATCACGTCGGCGTCACGTTGGCGATGTTGTGAAAACGTATTCCTAAAATAGAGTATATTTTAAATGAAAAATGAAAAAGAATTTTATTTTAATCTAAGTACGTTTGTCGAGCATTAACCTTGCTAGAAAAGGAGAAATATTAAAGAAGCCGGGTCTAGTATTTACCGTGCGTGAGATAAATATTATGCCTGCCTCATAAATCCGTCTAAGATTTTTAATAAATATATAATTTATATATAAATGTTTGAAAATTCTGCATTACTTTAATCGTATTAGGCGATATTGTTATTAAGTGAAAATTATATTTACTATTTAAAATTGAAAAACTTAATACAAATCATTTTGCACCAAGAATTGTAAAATCATTATTTATATATGTATAAACGTGTCCATTTTGAAAGTATGGGGGGGGACCATACACGACATTATCAGAAAATAAGACCGATGGCTATATAAATTTAAAGTCAACAATCCTAAAATTAGATTACGGATAATATTTTCCGACATTTTTAAGATTACTGAGTTCTCAGAAAATAGCTAAAACGGCTCTCGAAATTTTTTTTAACCGATAAATCTCTGACGAACAACAATAAACGTGTCAACCCTTTTATCAGCGCTCGTCAATCATGTAAACATGGTTACTGTCGGTTAAAGACACAACCAGTGCTTGTTTTCAAAAGACATTTCTGTGTTAACTTAAGGTAAATAATATTTTTTTCAAATCTGATTAATTATACTTATATATTTTATTTTTGGAAGATTTTTTAATGAAAGACGACTAAAAAGGGTGCTAATCAGATATTTTAGTTAAAAAGAAAAAAAAACTCCTTCCAGTCAATTTAAATTAGTTTTTGAATACAGCAAAGCATTTTGCTTATTGGAAATATTAAATTTAATCAATTAGCTTGAAATTAAAATTTTGTTTTTTTGTTTTTGTTATTGTTTTTTTTTTTTTTTTTTGTATTGGTCTCTAAATAAAACCATATTTCATGGATGGAACAATAGCTGAAAGGAAAATGACAAACAGGATTTGTACTCAGAGAGAGTTTTATACCACTCAGACATACAAAATTATATATACATATTTACAGGTGTCTCAGGCACAGAAAATATAACATATATCTACACAACAGTCAAAGTGAAAGGGGAACGAAAATACATGGTCTTACATGTAATAAGATCCATTTGTGTTTCTGGAGAAGCTATGTCTAGAACTCCAGACTCAGAGGGACAAATTCATCTCCTAAAAACCGGGTTTTCCCCAATTGAAGACTACGAAACCAAAATACTATTTTTCTATATCTGGGGAAGATATATCCCTAAAGTGAAACAGCGCCATATGCTTCTAAGCTGACCCACGTGTTGGAGGAGGCAGATTTAGCACTGTCCCCTTGGTCCGGGCAAATAAAGCATTCACTTGGTTTGACTTGTTATGATCCAGAATGATGATGAATTTTCATTATTCTGAAAATAACCTTGCCATCAGTAATGATAGAAAATAAGGATATTTCATCATTCCTAAAAAATAAAAGATAAAAAAAATCATCATTCCAAAAACAACCTTGCCACCAGTGATAAAAGTTGAGAAAGATATTTCATCATTCTAAAATTTGATTATAAAAACGACCCTGCCACCATAAGCGTCAGGACAATAGTAGGGTCAGTAGAGAAGACTAAAAAGAAAAAGGAAATAAAAACTTCATTTTGTAGCACTCATTTTAATCGTTTTCTATTAACATTAGTACCACGACACATTTGGTGACCTCACCACTACACAACAGTCCAACACAAGATATGAAAACACACATTCCTCATCACCAGCACAAGTTTTTGACGACACTCTATTTTTCAAACTCGAATAAGGCAACACATTTAGCATGAAAACCAAAAAGAACTTCCTGTCACCAGAATATAAAAACTCCATAACTCTTCGTATTCCGCCTTTCAACGAAAACAGACCAAGAGTATGGTTCCACCAGATCGAAGCCATGTTCATCAATCAAAGAATTACCTCACAACGGATTATATACACACACGTTATAGAAGCCCTTTCGGACGAAATCGCGTAAGAAGTAGAAGGCCTCCTGGAAAATCCGCCTGCAGAGAAAGAATTCGACTTGATGAAAGAAGCAATTTTCCAAAGACTTGAAAGATCGGATAATGCAAAATTGAAAGAACTTCTCAACGACGTCTCAATAGGTGACAGGACGCCTTCTCAACCTCTGTGATGATTCATGAAAAGTCTTCTGGGCCGCAGACACATGACTGAAGGAATCATGCGCCAGCTGTGGTTCGTCAAGTTAACACAGTCGATGACGCACATCCTAATAGTTTTCTCTGAAGAGAAAACGCTGTCTCAGCTCACCGAACTTGCCGATTGGATTGTAGACACTTATCATCAGAGACAAATAGTTCTAAAGTCTCAACAGAGAACAGCGAAGAAGACAAATCAGTTTCACACCTATGCGAAAGATGAAACAAGAACATAAAAGTTCACTCATAACCTGACTCTCTCTGACCGTCACAAAGAATTCCAACAAGGGTCAATCACCCGCAGGAAAATACCTGTGCTAGTATCACTTCAGGTTTCATGTAAAGGCACGCAAGTGTGTCAAACCATGTTCCTTTTTCAAGGAAGGATCTAAACGGCCATACCAACAAATAATGGCGACTACTCCAGCTGGTAACACCAAATCAGATCGCCTACTTTATATTGAAGACCTTATAGAAAATTTTTAATTGACACAGGAGCAG